AGCCCCGCTCTCTCACTGTCCCCCTCTCTCTGCCCAGGCCCCCCCCTCGGACAGGCCACCCCCCCCCACGCGCCCGCTGCCCGCGGACCCCGTGGTGCTGCCGAGCCCTCAGGTAACGGCGGCGGCGGCGGCACCTGCGTGTGGGGCAGGAGGCGAATTCCCACCCCCTGAGCCCACTGAGGGGGTCAGACCTCGCTGGAGCTTTGACACCCCCCCTCTCCATCCCCCCCCACAGCCTCCAGGTCCAGCCAAGCCGCCCCCACCGCAGCGGCCGCTGCCCCTGAACCCCCCTGGCCCTTCGCTGGCCCGCAGCGAGATCCCCTCCGGGCACCCCTATGTCACAGTGATCCCTGCCAGGTGAGCATGGGGAGGGGGGCAGGGCAGGGCTGGGGGGCCTAGAGGGGCTGTAGGGTCTGGGGTGGTGAGGGGAGGTTGTGGGGTGCCAGGGTGGGGTCTGCAGCGGGGCCAGAGAGGGCAGCCGGGAGAAATGGAGGTGTCAGAACTTGGGGAGGGGGGAAAAGAAGGGGTGTAGGGGGCCATGGTGGGGTCAGCAGAGGCCAGAGAGGGGGCAGAGGGGGCAGCCATGAGAAACTGCGGGGTTAGAACCAGAGCAAGGGAGGGAAGAAGGGGTGTAGGGGGCCACAGTGGGGTCAGCAAAGGTGCAGGGAGGTGCATGGGGGTGCAGAGGGGGGAACCAGGAGAAATGGGGTATCAGAATAAGGGCAGTGGTGAGGAAGAAGGGGTGTAAGGGCCAGGGTGGGGGTCTGCAGAGGCCGTAGTGAGGTGCAGGGGGGGGAAAAAGGGGATCCAGGAGAAATGAGAGGTCAGGACCAGTGCAGGGGGGGCTGTGGGGTGCCAGGGTGGGGACTGCAGGGGGCCAGTGAGGGGCAGGGGGCGGGACACAGGGGGAATCCAGGAGAAGTGGGGGGAGGAAACGGGGTGAGGGGACAAGGAGGGGGTCTGTGGGGGGCGGGAGGAGCTGTGAGGACCCCCTCTCTCACCCCATCGCCCCCCCCCCCCCGCCTCTCTCCACAGGCCCGCCCCGGCCCCACCGGAGGCCTGAGCCACGGGCCGGGACAAGGCCGAGCCCCGCCGGACTCCGCCGGGACCCCTCCGCCACTTCAATAAAGGGGCTGTGAGCTGCCTGCGCGCTGCCTCCGCCGAACCGAGACCGACACCGGGACAGCGGGACACCGGGAGCGGCCCCGGGACACCGGGAGGGGGGAGCGGCGCCGAACTACAACTCCCAGCAGCCCCCGCGCCGGAAGGGGCTCCCGGCACTCAGCGCCCCCTGGCGGGCACCGCGCGCACCTGCAGCGGGGGGGGGGGAGTGTCCCGAGGGGCCACGTGGGCGAGGGGACACGGGGGGACACCGTGTGTGTAAGAGATGTCCTGTGTGCACGGGCACGTGTGTTTTTGTGTGTAAGAGCTGCTCTGTGGGCATGGGCACAGGCGTGGGTGGGGGCTGCCACACACACTTGAACACGCGTGTGCCGGGGCTGTTCGGTCTGCGGGGGGCACGTGTTTGTGTAAGGGATGCTCCGTGGGGGCGGGCACACGTGGGCAGGGGCCGTGGAACTGCCACGGACACGGGCAGACACGTGTGCAAGAGCTGCCCTGTGGGTTTGGGCACACGTGTGCTCTGTGGGCACATGCACATGCGTGTGCAAGAGCTGCCACATACGTGGGCAGATGTGTGTGCGAGAGATGCCCCATGGGCTCAGGCTCACACGTGAGCAGGAGCTGCTCTCTGTGGGCACAAACACACGTGGCCAAGAGCTGCTGAGTCTGCGTGGACACGTGTGTGTAAGAGCTGCCCTGAGTGCACGGGCACACACAAGTGTGCAAGAGCTGCCAGGCATGCGGGCACACGCGTGTGCCAGAGCTCCGTGTACACAGGGACACACGTGGGCAGGAGCTGACACACATATGGGCACACGTGTGCAAGAGCTGCCTGGCGGGCAGGGACACACATATGGGCAGGAGCTGGCACACACACGGACACACACGTGTGCCAGAGCTGTCGTGGTTGCACGGGGACACGCGTGGGCAGGAACTGCCACGCGTATGGGCACACACGTGTGCAAGAGCTGCTCGGTGGGCACAGACACGTGGGCAGGAGCTACCTGGTGGGCCTGGGCACACGAGTGTGCAAGAGCTGCTCCGTGTGCACAGACCATCCTCCGTGGTCCCCACAGTGCCCACCCTGTGCTAGTGCCAGTGGGTGCTGATGCCCGGCCAGGGTGGGGGGGTGGGCACGGGGAGCAGCCTCTCCTGGTGCCATCGATGTCCACGGCAGTGCCAGGTTAGGGTGGGGGGTACTGGGGAGCCAGATTGGGCTGGAGCTGCCGGTCCCACTGCTGGTGTTAATGGATGTTGGAGGTACCAGGCCGTGCCAGGGTTGCCAGTCCCAGGTGCCCGGTGGATGTTCACGGTACCGGGGCGGTGTCGGCTTGGGGTGAGGACACCGGGAGGGTACCGGGGAGCTGGATTGCAGCCGGGCTGCCAGTCCCGGTGCCGGTGTAGATGCATGTCGGCGGTACCAGTCGGTGTGGGGGGTCTGCCCGTCTCGGTGCCAGTGCCGGCCTCGGCGCCGGTGATGTCTACGGTACCAAGGAGTTGCCAGGGATGCCAGTGCCGGTGCATGTCGGCGGTACGGGGGTTGCCGGATTGGGGCGTGGCTGCCGGTGCCGGTCCCGGTGCCATTGCCGGTCCCGGTGCCGTTGCCTCTGGATGCCGGCGGTACCGGCCGGGGAGGGGGGGGAGGTTGCCGGTCTCGGTGTCCGCGGGTGCCGGTGCCGCCCGCCAAGGGTTAATGGCACTCGGTGAAGTTGCCGGGCGGCGGCGCGGCGGGATTGGCCCGAAGTTGTCGGGGCGGGCCGGGCCGTGCCGAGCCCCGCCGGGGCCGCCCCGCCCGCCGCCCCCCGCCGCCCCCCGCCCGCCGCCGGCGGAGCCATGCGCCCCGCGCCGCTGCTCGGGCTCCTGCTCTGGGCGCCGCTGCTCTGGGCGCCGCCGGTGCGCGTCACCCGCCACGGCGTCCACTGGAACGGCAGCAACCCCAGGTACCGCCGGCCGCCCCCGCCGGCCCCGCCGCCTTTGTGCGCCCCGGGCCCCGCCGAGCCCCGGGCCCCGCCGAGCCCCCGGGCCCCGCGCCGCCGCCACGGGACGGGACGGGATGGGATGGGACGGGAGGGGCGGCGGGAGGGGGGCTCCGCGCTCCGGGGGGGGCGGGGCTGCTCCGCCACCGGGCCACCGAGCGCCCCTGGGAGAGTTTACCGAGACGGGGAGCACCTCCCGGTGGGAGCGAGGCGGGGAGCATCTCCCAGTGGTGCTGTGCCCCCCGGGCATCCCCGGCAGCACCGAGCCCCGGGGTGGTGCTGAGCAGGTGAGTGGCCCCGGTGCTACCGAGCCCCCGTGGTACCGAGCCCCTGGGCATCCCTGCCGGCACCGGGCCCTCGGTGGTACCTCCCGGTGGTACTGAGCCCCGGTGGTACCAAGCCACTGGGCAGCCCTGGGGGTTGCCGAGCCGGTGAGAACCCCTGGGGGTGCTGAGCCCTGAGGGGCACCGAGCTACTGGGCATCCCCGGTGGTAGCAAACCCCGGGTGGTACAGAGCCACCGGGCACCCCAGTGTGCCACCGAGGCAGTGAGCACCCCTGGGTGGTGCTGAGCCCCAGGCACTGCTGGTGGCACTGAGCTCTGGGTGGCATGGAGCAGGTGAGCCTCCCCTGGTAAGGCTGAGTTCTGGGAGTTCCACCCCGGTGGGCAGCCCTGGTGGCACCAAGTCCCCCGTGGCACCAAGTTGGTGGCCCCTCCTGGGGGCACCAAGCCCCCAGTGAGCATCCCAGTGGCACCAAGTCCTCAGTGGCACCGAGCTGGTGGGCATTCCTGGTGCTGCCAAGTCCCTGGTGGTACCCAGCTGTGCCAAGCCTGAATGCCCTTGGTGGCACTGAGCTTTGGCCATCCTCTGGTGCCATCAAGCTGGTGGGTGGCAGTGACAGGGCTGTGGGTTCCCATGGTGGGTGTCCCCACTGCTGGGTGGGCCACCCCAGCCCCTACCCTGCCAGGGGTGCTGCCTGTGGGCTCTGCCATCACCGGTGGGCCGGGGTCCAGCCCTGGCCCTGTCCCCGCTCCCGGCCTCCTCCATTTTAGGTATTTCCCAGCTTCAGGGAGCAGGGGGCAGGGTCAGGATGCTGGGCCAGGATCCTGTGGGCTGTGCTCCTCCATGCAGGTCCTGTGCCCTGGGCCTGCAGGACTGGGCCAGGTGGGCACGTGACGGGCAGGGCTGGGGGCACAGTTGCTGCCTTGCTCCCCCCGCTGTGGATGGGAGAGGTGGGACCCCACCACCTGTGGGGAGTGGGGCTCCGTGTGCCCCTCAGCAGGGTCAGGCAGCCCTCGGCCCTGCCCGGGCCTGTCCCGGCCAGCGTTGCCCGTGGGATGCTCTGAGTCAGCAGGAACCTGTGCCCCATCCTGTCCTCGAGTAGCCCCCGGCCCTGCTGGGGGGCTCAGAGGCCCAAATTCCCCCCTCACCGGTGCTGCCATCCCAGTGATGAATGTTCTGCTCTCTGCTGGGACTCTGCGCCGTCCATGAACACCGGCTGCACCGGGGTGGATGAAGGGGGGTTGGGGTCTCCCTGACAGCCCCCCCTGCTCCATTACCTTCCCAGCACCAAGCGCGTGCAATGCACGTGTGTGCACATGTGTGTGCACTCGTGTGTGCCCGCAGAGCTGTCCGCTCCACCCCGGCCTGGCAGCACACGCTGTGAGTTCACTGCATCCTGCCCGTGCCTGAGCTGGGCCCCCTCCCCTGCCCTCCCTGCCGCCAGAGCCCCCTCCCCGCCCCGTGCCCCCTGCCCCGGCCACCGCCCCCTGCCAGCACCGTGCCGGTGCGGGAGCGTCCCGCCGCACGGCCCCCCACCGGGGTGTCATGTCCGATCAGCGGCGAGGCGGGTGCCTGGGGCGAGGGGCTTTGTGCCCGGGCAGCGTGGCTCTCCCCCCGCCTCCGGCCGCGGTGGCCGAGCCCATTCAGCTCCAGCGGCCTGCGGCTAATCCGAGCTGATGCCTGGCTGCGTGGCGCGGGCGGTGTCCGGTCTGTGTTTTGGGGGAAAGCCCGGCTCCCCGCACCGCCGGGGCCGGGGAGCGGGGGGAGGACAGTGGGACACCCCTCCCTGCGAACCCCCCCCGGCTCGTCCCGCCCGGCAGGTTCCTGCGGGACGACTACTCCATCCAGGTGGCCATCAATGACTACCTGGACATCTACTGCCCGCACTACGAGGGGGCCGTGCCCGCCGGCCGGGCAGAGACCTTCACGCTCTTCATGGTGGACCGGGAGGGTTATCGCGGCTGCTACGAGACCCCCGGCGCCTTCAAGCGCTGGGAGTGCAACCGGCCCCGGGCGCCCTTCGGGCCCGTCCGCTTCTCCGAGAAGATCCAGCGCTTCACCCCCTTCTCGCTCGGCTTCGAGTTCCAGCCGGGGGAGACCTACTACTACATCTGTGAGTGTCCCCCGCCCCGGGCGCCATGGGGGTGTCACGGCACGTTGGGGCGCTGGGTGCAGCCCCCCCGGGGTCAGAGCGTGTCGGGGGGCTTGGGTGCAGCCCCCCAGGATCTCTGTAGAACTGGGTTTGGGGCACAAGGGAGGGTCAGGGTACACCCAGGATCTGGATCCCCCCAGCTGAGGTTGGGGGGAGTCTGGATGACTCTGGGGTTGAGGTGCAGGGAGGTCTGGATGCCCCACAGATGGGGGCATAAGGGGTTGGGGTGCAGGGGGATATGGGGTGCTCTGGGATTTGGGGTTCTGGGGGGTGTGGCATTCAGGGAGGTTCTGGATCCCCTGGGGTGAGGGCTTTATGAGAGGTGGGGTGCAGGGGGGGGGTGTCTGGATGTC